CGCAAAACAGCATATCCATTTACCATCATTGATAGTTAACTCGTCTACACAAAGCCAAATTAAAGGCTCCAAATTTTGATACATTATACTAGGAAATCTATTCATTCAAATTCAAAACCCAAAACGTGACATCAATAAGCAGATAAATAGCAAATATTGATTATAAACCAAAGCAAGAAACCACAATTCACAACGCTAAATTCACATAGAACCATTTACGAAACCATACACACATATAAAACCAAATAAAAACTTCGAAAGAATCAACATTCAGAGTAAATCGATGGCGTGGAACCTGGAGGACGCTGTTACAATAGCAAGTGTTGCCGAAATTCTCAAGACCGAAATATCGTTCACCTTCGGGGAATTGGTCTCCCAATGCCTTCTCCAGTTTCGAGCCCGCTGCTCCCATCCCTCCCTCACTTCATCCGAACCTTGTTTCCCCTGGTATCTATATATGTATGTATATGTTTGAAAGTTGCTGAAAAAACTAGGGTTTGTCACGGAGAAAGAAAAGATAATGACGATGAATTTGCAGAGGAAAATTGAATTGAAATTGGAATGATTATAGAAATAGAAAAAAAGAACAAAGGCTTTTAAGATGGAGAAGGAGACCAAAGATAGAAAGAGGAATTTCTCAAAAAATGCCTTGGTAAGTGTCAAGTGAAAAAATAGTTTTAGATTTTTAGCTATTTATTTCTCAAAATAGTATTACCCCTTGTTAGTTACACAATTTTTTCAACACACATTTTTTCAACATCAATAATTTTTTCTTACTTTTTAACAGTATATTTTTATCATATCACTATTTAAAATACGTTATTTCCTCAATAATATCCATCAAACACACTCATATTTTAAGTAAAATGTCTTTAGATTCTAATATGATGATTATCTTCTCTTTAAACTAGTTTGACATTAATAATTATTTCCCGACTTGTTAAGATGGAGTTCAATCGGATCAAAATTGACCGTCGTTGGTCAAATGAATACAAAGCAAATATGATGACACGAGAGTGATGACGTGGTCGAAAGAGAAAATTGATATAGGTAGTTGGGGATGAATTAAGCCGATTGTGCACGTCGAGATTTGGCAAGATTAAGAGCTTGTGCACCTTGGGGTTGGGGCTAAGTCATGTGTTGGAGGAGGTTGCACATGAGGGGAGACTTTGCAAGGTTTGGGGAGGGGATTTTCTTTTATATCAAGTTTAACACAATACAAACACTGTGTGAAAAAATGGGAGTCGTGGATTGAAAGGGTTGATAAGTCGTGCACCAGTTGGTTTGGAAGCTTGCACAAGCTATAACTAAGTTAGGGATCGTGATAAAAGCAGTTGCAGCAACATTTACAACCAAGAACATAAAGTTAGGGAAAATATGAATGAATCATAATAGATATAGAAAAATATCTGATTATTCTGATCATTATTATCTCACCACTTAGTAGTATTTAGCACACCTAACACACCATGCATCTTATGTCGAAATCACCTTTAAAACTAACCATTTAAAATGAAAACACGTTTGATAGCCAGCTTTCCCACCTTCCATCTCTAAGATCTCTTCAAATTCATTGACATACTCATTACCACAATGAGATAAAATAAGAGAAGTGAAATCAACAGGAGTAAATTCAATCCATGAGATCTTGAGGCAAAATTGTGGATATGCCTCGTCCAAACAATGCAATAGAACAATTTTTGAATCCAAGATGACATTTGAATAAGGTATTCACTACACCATGAATTAATTTTTGCAAATTGATCAACAGAATTCCTAATCGAGGACATTGTACATAACACTCACTTACAGTGCATAGGCAAAATTAGATTGTGCACTAAAAAAAAGTAATACTTTCAAATAAAATCTTCAACCCCAAATTAAGCCCTAGTCCCACTCTCTCTCTATACAGGAATGTTCTTGCCCTATTTTCTGGATTTTATGCGTGTTCTTCGTTCGATTTATCAAGATTTGTCGTCTTGTTGGGTCGGTATAATAACGTTATTCTAATATATTTTTTCAATTTCTAGATTATTTCAACGTTTTCCACCTGACACCATTTTTTACTCCACGTCCGTTTGAAATTCAATTTTTTTCACGAGCAAAATATAAAAAGTTGCAATTAGATTAATGTATCAATAAAAAAAAAAAGTAGTGGACATTAAGTGCAATAATAAAAAAAAGAAATGTGAGGTGTAATTTACACCTTAACAAATGAATTATGCAATCTTGATTACAATATTCGTTTTCAACCTTTTATTTGGACGATAACATATTTATCTATTTTTTTTAAAAAAAAATTTACATTAAAAGCTCGAATTTTGAGTTTTTGACCATGCAAGTTACCAACCAAAATTGTTATCCAAAATTATCGACTAATGCTTGTACAACTAGATAACGAATTGACCCAACTGTAATATTTTCATCTTACCTTCCTTTTCACTCCAGAACCGAATACTTCTTTCAAGCGTGGGCGAAATGGAAGAAAATGTGTTTGGCACAAATGATCCAAACCCTAGAACCACCGCCACCGCCACTGCGGATAACACTACCGTTGATCCAACCCTCCAACGGAAGAATGCTGCAATGCTGGAACGCCTCTCCAATCGCCACCAATCACGGCTGGCCGGAAAATCCGACCCTGACTCCACAAACCTTAATGCGCCACCCTCATTCGAGTCTACCGAATCCTTCCTCTCAAAATTCTCTCAATCTAAGGTCTCCATTGAGTCCTGCCTCTCCCAGCTCCACCAACAACAAGAAAACCGAATTCCTGGCTCCGATTCGAACCGGAAAACCGATATGGAGAAAATCTCCCTCTCAATTTCTGACCTAGAGAAGTTTGTTGCGGAGAATTCTTACTTCTTGCCATCCTACGAAGTTCGTACGTGCCTCAAAACCATTGCCGATCTCAAGCAATCCCTCGATGATGTCACCTCCCTCGTCATCCCCAAGAAAAAATTCTCCTTCAAAAATAAACCCTCCAAAAAACCCACTAATCCGGTTCAGGAAGATACCGTCTCTGAGAAGAACCTGAATGTGGGATCTTCTGATTTGGGATTTAAGCATTTGATAATGTCACCGGGGTTTAGGGATAAAGAGAAGGAGGTATTAGTCAAGGAATTTGATAAGAGTGATACGCAGGGACAAAATGGGGAATTCACGTTATCGGGTTTGAGGGATTGTGAGGTGAGATTGAAGGGTTGTTTAAGGGCTCTGTTTATGGATAGATTGACAAATTGTAGGATTTACGTTGGGGCAGTGATGGGGTCAGTTTTGATAGAGGGCGCGGAGGGGTGTGTTTTTATATTGGCTTCACATCAGATCAGGATTCATAATGCAAAAAATTGTGATTTTTATCTTCGAGTTAGAAGTAGACCCATAATTGAGGACTGCAATGGGGTTAAATTTGCGCCATATTGTCTGAACTATGAAAGGATTGAGAAGGATCTTGAGGAGGCAAATCTTGGAGAGGAGACGGCTAACTGGGCAAATGTGGATGATTTTCGGTGGTTGAGGGCGGTGCAATCCCCAAATTGGTCGATTTTGCCCAACAATGAGCGAATTCAGACGGTGGATATTTCGATTTCTTGAGAATTGGATTGAGAGCCCTTTTTTTGCATAGACTAAAAGATTTGTGTTTCTGGATACATGCTAGATTTTGTAAAAGAGGTGACATTTTTGTTGTATCTGCAAAAAAACAAAGGAAAATGACACGAAATCATTCAGAATTCATTTCTTATCCAAGTTGATGCCAAATTGGGTTTATATGACACTTCATTGTTTATGTAATTTGATTGCTACAAATTTCTAATACTTGATTTTTTGCTATGTTGTTTCAACTTTCAATTATGTCTCTTCTGTCCTGTGCATCAGCTTAACTTATATCATACCAATGCTGGAATACATATAATAAAGTTTGCAGTCGGACCGTTCTTTCTACTTGTTTTGTCTTAAACAGCCATTGTAGATTTAACTTGTTTCAGAGCTTGAAATATTGTTGAATGTTAAAGATCCATGCCTTCACACGTGTTTCTTACTTTGAATTTACTTTGTTTTGGCAAGTAAGATGACCTTATTAGAAATATATGAGAGATGCTTCGGATTTGTGCGCCTCGGGGCATAGTTTAGCTACTAGATGAGAAATAAACGTTAAAATGGAAAAGGTTGCCCAAGTAGGTATTTTATGCAGCTTGAGGTTCTGGATTTAATGTTATGGAAAGAAGATAAAGCATTGAAATTGAAATTTAGATACTACCCAGGTGGTTCAATTGGTGAACTGTTGAACCAGCTGGACTGGTCTTCTAATCAGTTTGTTTATGGCAGTGACCTTATAGAACCCAGGTTGAAACCTTATGTCTAGGCATGGTCTTGAATCCACAACCTAACGCGTACTTAAGGAGCTAGCCAATTCCTAGAGCCGAGTGTCTTTATTTGAACACATTTCTATGAGCTACTGTATTTATACATCAACTTTTGATTTGATGATCTTGTTAAACAAGCACGAAGAAGGAAGAAAGGCTGTTTGGAGGTACAAGTTTGTGTTTACAATGCATACACTGCTTACGATTGTGCTTTGGAAACAAGGCTTATTGTAAAAGTGAATGCATTATGTCGTATCCACCTTCACAATACACAGTTGTTCTGTTTCCTTCTTGTCATGCCTGCCCGTAATTGAACTGGAATTTTGGCTGCTGAGATTTGATTATTTGCTGGGACATGTTAAAACCTTATCCTATAGCACTTCAGTGCTGACTTTGCTCAAATTTATGGTGATATTGAACGATGTTTGGTGAAAATTGTAGTTGTTTCTGAGTATATTGTGCTGATATGAAATTCGTTTTGGTTCGGATATAATTGCCATTTACCATTGGCTTAGGATAAAGTTCTTTAATGTTCTGTTGTTTCATAGAAATATGATATGAGCAGTGTTATAATTTTGTTTAAATAAGAATATTCAACACTGCGTATTTTTATTTTCTTTTCTTTTTTATTTCTCCCCAAATATAAATAGACACAAACTGATGAAGATCGAATGCATTCATATTATTCTCCCTCGTTTTTTTTTTTTTTTTTTT